TAAATACCTTATCATAAAATTATCATCAATCATGCGCGGTCGGATTAGAATAGGAGAAAAAAAACCAACAAAAAAAAAAAAAATCCACTGCAGTCGTGATCCGTATTAACGATTATCCTGGAAGACGCGACGACGCTGTTACACTATTATAAATAATATACGTGCGCGCGTATACAACGATATTACGTTCGGGATTCGAGTCCGTTCGTGCGCGTTCGATTGTGTTATTGTTCACAAAAATAACAGCTATACGCGCGGCGATAAAAACTTCAACAGGCACAGAACGTTCTTCGCCGATACAAATGTTGTTTATTATACTCGACAACGAGGTGGTTGAATTTCGGTAAGCCACTGCGGCAGCTGTGCGCGCTCAAGAGCGGTACGACTTTATGGTAATCGTTCCGTCCGGGAATACGTTACGGACACGTAATTTTTCTGGGGACATAAAACGAGAAAAACAACCGGCCACGGGTGTACGTTTGGAAATCCAGTCATATACCGCGGCGACTACGGTAGGTACGGCGACAAATCGTTATCAATATTCCGAACGAATACGTGTGCGACGTATTAATCAAGTTTTCTAAACCACTACGTGGCGTATGGACGCTTACAAAATACGTCTGCATATAAAATCACACTCGTACGGACAAGTGTGTGTGTGTGTGTGTGTGTTTGTAACATACATATATACATACGTACACGCACTCACGCATGCATATGTGTATTATAAACAATCATATAATATGTGCACGGTCCGTTCGGATAAGATTATATACTTTCCTCTGTTCCTCACGCACTCACGTTGTATACCTCTGATATCGACCAACAGACAATAGTGAATACGTGATGCACTTGGTAATGAACAAACATGCACACACACGCACGCACACACACAAACACACGAGTGTGTATAATCTCAACCCTTCGCCAGTGTGTACCCGTTTACGTGTACGCACACAGATACGTGTAACGTACATCAAGTACATACGCGTATGTGCGCATGTGAGTGTGTGCGTGCGCGGTACAAGACACAATGTGTTTCGGGTACGTACACATGCAGGTCGCTCGAAAGGGGACGGTTTTAAATCCGACGCTCCGGTCTGCGTATCGTACAATATCCTATTAAGGGCCATCAATCTTCGTTAAGTGTATTTCTTGTACGAGCGTGTGTGTGCGTGTGTCGTACATACCTACCATCGGGATCGCATGAACACGTGAAAAAATTGTTTATTATTTCTTTTACCCGGCCAACGTTTTGTTGTATATTATTATACGTATTACACGACCTGCAGTGAAAGACTTCAACGCACTGCGCGTACACCTATGCATAGTGGTGATTTTTTTAACACGTCTCGTATCAGCGTGTCGCAGCCGCAGTATCGTGTACGTATCTACATATTTATACATATATATATACGAGTACATACGTGTGTATCAACTGCATGCAGACAATCGCCCCGGTCTACGTGTGTTTCGTTCGTTGTATTTATAAATTCATCGCGATTCGTACGACAAGGATATTATAGTAATGCACGTAATACCGTCGATTTGATAAAGATCGCGATAGATGTTGAACATTGGATATAAATGGGTGCGAGTTGTTATTTTTTTCCTTTTTATTACGTCGACGGCGACGGCTATTGGGAGACGAAACATATCGACTTCAAACGCCCACGTCTCGCATCCGATGTTTTACGACCGCCGTCCGCTCGAAATACATTTATTTTTACTTTGTAACGATATTAAATTAATTGTTTTTTAAAACTCTGTTCGAAACGGCAGAAGAATCGGCCCGGCGTGCTCGAGAAGGAAAAAAAAGGAGAAAAAAAAAACGAACCTATTGACGAAACGCCAAAAGCGTATACACTATTATATTACATAATGCTGTCTTTAAACCAGTTGACTATAAATCTTTACGACTCAAACCATTGTGCGCTATACTCGCGCGTTCGGAGGAGAAAAAAAATATGTTGGTTTTTTTCGTATAATATGACGTGTTGATAAATTATTTCGTACTTTAATTATTTTACGGTCTTTCGGTGGGGAGACCAGAAGAACAAACAATAACATAAATATTCGCTTTCTTACGTTTACGTATAACTACAGGTGTAATTAATGACATTATATGCGCGAATCGCGACGACCATATTATTATAATACCATATGTATATGCACGTATTATTCGTACTTTACGCGATACAACATGTCGGTGCGCTCTTTGATTTTCTACTAACACTACACATAATATTATTACAGACCGTATGCGGTCGTTCGACCCGCTGGTACACGTAATTTTAGAAGGAAATAAAACACACTTTCCGCGAGAAGCGATATTATAATACATAGAAGGCACATATCGTGTCATTGATAATCACTGTTTTTTTTTTTTTTTACGATTTATACACGTACAATGATTTAGATATGGCGGCGGTTCACCTCGGCACTAAAGCGGCAAAAAAACCATTAAAAAAAAAAAAAAACCAAACGTAACGAAAACACCCACCGGATCCCTGTGGGCGGCTATATAATATTACACACTACACAGACGATTAGACCAAAAGAGTAGCTCGTTCATTTCATATTTTCTAAATTACATTGTCCGATTTCAATGTCAAAAACACATGAGGCCCCCGGTCGGGTTAACATCTTTTTGAGCGACGCCCACGCACAGATTTATATCAAACCACTGTATAGAAGGATAATTCACTTTTTATTTTATTCCCCATTGTTCGCGCGACGTGTTGCAAAAGCCCTGATACCCGTAGCATAATAATATTATTTCGTTTTTAACCTACGATAACACGCAATATAATACTACCCATCACAGTGTATAGGCGTAAGGAACGGTAGTATGACTGTGCGCATAGTGCCTCACGCTCGTGCATGAAGCTAATGAATTCATTATACAAAACGGCTGTATAAAATATAATTTGTAAACTCCAACTGCAGTATACAGGTAGCTAGAAGATTTGGTTCTATTATTATTAGTCATTAGTAGAGTTAGAATTTTGTAGCTCTATGACTATTTAAAAAATATATCCAAAAAAGCAGTATATCAGCAGTAACCTATGTACTAACTATTTATCAATAGTATGCATTTCTTTTTTTTTCAGAAACTGAACTATAATGCCTATAACGAAATTGTTATTAGCACTTCAGTTTTATGCATGAGGAATTATTTCACTTGCAGCTGGAGACTGTAGGTGTCAATAAAACGTGACTTGTAATATTGTTCGAACGGTTACTGTAGTTATAGCCTGAATACTGTTTTATAGTTTAATGTCAGAACATTTTTGTACTTTTCAACCAAACTTATCAATCCTTTCACTTTTTCACTAGAAAAATTTTTTGAACGTGATTTATCTTTGTTTTTAATTTTAGAGGTTTTACCATACTATCATAGGCGTGCGCACGGGGGAGGCCGGTGGACTCTTGGAGGACTCTGGCTTTTTCTTTAATAAATGTATATCTATATTATACAGATAGCGAACATTTTTACATTTTACATGAATAAAGTAAAGTCCGTTTTAATCCTATAGTATAGAATTGATATCTGTGAATAAATTTAATAAAATTATTAGTTATTAATTAGACTAATCAGAACTTGCATATAATATAAAAATTGAAGATGTAATTGATACATTCAAAAACCTTACTCCCGTAGACAAAAGGATAGAGTTGTAAATAGTATAATAATATGTAAATAAGGATTTCTTAGATATAAATTGTGTAAGTTTAAATAGTATTTATTTTTATATTTGCATATTGAATTAAATAAATAGTTTATAAAATTTAAAATATTTTATTATACTAGTAGTTTTTAGTACAAGAATCTTTGGTTCACTTTTTTAAGGGGCCCCCCTGCGGACGAAGTCTGCCTACACCTATGCATACTATCCAATTCTTCTTAAAATAAACTTAATAAAAAATGGATATATTATATTATATAAATATTAATTGAAAATATTTATAAGTCACTAAATAGTAGTTTATGGATGTTACGTTCAACTGAAAACTAATGTATAACTAATAACTTTTATTTAACACAAACATCAAACATTACGATTAAAGACCAACTAAACCACGACCAAATTGAATAAATCATAAAAATGAATATTGATTATTCAATTATTTTAATTTAGTATGTGTATCTAGTATACATTTTGTAAAAATATTATTGATAATATAAAGAAAAAAATAACATCATATTGAAATAGACCAAAAAAAAAAAAGATTTTTCTCGATTATACTATCCTTCATAGTGTACGGTTAATATTGGGTTTGGTAAATTGAGTCCCATTTTATTAATCTTAGGTAAACCGAGTCCCACCGAAAAAAAAAAAGGTAATTTGAGTCCCTCATATAAAAATGAAATCGGTAAATTGAGGCTCTTGTATAAAAATTAAAGCAGTAGTTTGAAATATGGTGAAATGCCGTTTTTTTTTTATTTAACACATTTTTAATTATATTAGTACAATTTTATACTGTGTACATTAAACTTATATTTATCAGTTATCATATATCACATCCAGATTTGTTATAGATAGTTAGGTACTTATAGAAATGTCGCGTAATAATACGGAGCGAAATATAATAATATTTAACGATGTAACGATAAGATACACTTGCCTATCGTAGGTACTCGGTGAATTTATAACTACGAGTATATCAACGATTATATTTATAATTTAAATAAATTTAAATAGATTTAATACATTAAATATTTTAGACGAGACTCAATTCGCCGTTTTAACTGTTACGAGGGACTCAGTTTACCTCTTTAAATTTTATACATGGGACTCAGTTTACCCATTTCAATATTATTATTGGGACTCAATTTACCTATTTCGAAAAAAGATAAATTCTTGGGACTCAATTTACCTATTCCCGTTAATATCAAAGCTTCGTGTTTGACCAACAGAAAAGAAAAAAATGCAAATACCTACAAAATCCGAACTCTAGTTATCACTGCCGTACATGCAATATTACACTTGACTTACTTGGAAACTCTGTTCGGTGGAAAACGTGCAAGAACTGTTCCAGCTGGCCGAACTGTTTCGTGATGAGACTTCTTGTACCACCCGTAACCGAGCCACGTGGTCGTTCATCTTGTTATTAGGTTTCGCCGATATCTAAAAAACGGAAAATAACGGAAACGATTAACAACCGTGTGCAGACAAGTCGAAAAATAGTTTTCACGGTTCTTATATTGAAGCCGTTGGCGTACCTAATATTTGTGTTGTACCATTTCCATTGCAGTAGGTACGCAAACTCACGCGGTCACGAGCGTATTTACACAAATAAGATTTACGTATATTCTTTCCTGTACAACACTGTAAGCCTATGATGTGTAAACGTGCTAGTAATATATAGGGGTCAACATCCCACAATTATAGATTGATAAAATAATGAGGTGAGCAATAAAAATTTGGATTAGTCTACCGAAAACCAGTTTGGTCGACCGATAACGTGTAATGTTATTATAGTGGCGTTGGGAGGGAAATAAATATTAAAATATTCCAACGCGGCAACTGCAGCGGCACGTATAGCCGGCGCTGCGACGGTGTCCAAAGTTGTACGGAAGTATTGCTTTTACAAGCGGAACAAATCGAAACCGAACGCGTATCGTATGCGACCGACAAAACGCTTCTCGTTCGATAACGGTTGACGATCCCGATAATTATTACGTTAGTCGTCCGCGGACCGCGTAACGTTATCGGGGGCACACGTTACGTGCAACTTTTGAATGTTGTTCGTGTTGTCGACGTATTTATTTCCTTCGTCCTCTCCGAACCCGTTACTCGGCGGGCTAGCGGTACACGAACGGCAGCAGCCACCAGCCAGTCGTCGGGCAATAAACCCCAAAACGTAACGTTAAACTATAGGACCGAGTCCCAGAACCATCAGCCAGTCGCCGTCGCGTATCATCGTTATAGGTCTTCTAGGTGTTCGTACGACCGGGAGTGATTAGGTGTACGGTAGGTGCGTGTGGGCGTGCGCCGCGTGGTAGTAAAACGCGTGTGCACGGTCGGCCGGTTGCACGATTACAGTAATACAACATTATTACGTTGGGTCGATAACTCGATGCGTTCAGCGTTTTAACGACGGTTTCTTCGTGTGTTTTGTAATAATATTATCGTTTTGTACTGACATTGCCGTCAACTATCCCGTATTCGGAAGGCCACTACTACGCGCCATCGTTTCGCGTGTCCGCGATACACATATGGCTGGACATTACAAGAAGTCCAAGTTACTTTCAATTTTTTTTTTTATTTTCGATCAACTTCAAACACGTCGAGTTAATCGAGTGAACACATCGTGTTTCCGTGGTACGCGCAACCAAACAAATTCGTTAACTTTTTCTACAATCGTATTAAGTTTAATTATTTACAGGGGTGTATTGGAGGGTATACGCGGGTATACGTCGTATACCCGGATCCCTATTTTTGGATTTATGCGTATACCTTTAAGAAAATTAGTCTTTTGTGGGTAAACGCACACTTCTAATTTATCATCAAACAATTCATTGACAATTCAATTCATTCAGACAATTCAGTCATAGTATCTGTTCGAGCTGGTTGCCATATAAACTTATTTTTGCCGTATCTACGGCCTTTCCCCCGATAACCACGGCCGCGATTATTTCAACGGCCTGTTCACCGCCCGGCTGGACAACTGTCGCGGTTGTCGTGTGTTCACCTGATAGTACGGCACATAGCCATCAACGTGTTTTTTTTGTACCGCCGGTCGTCGCACGAAACATCGTCCTGCCGCGTGTGCGTTTTATTTCCTTTTCGCCGGCCGTGTTTTAATTAACCAAAGTGCGAAGTTGTCAACGGTCGTTGTCGTCTGTCCTGTGGTGTCGCGGTTCGTGGGTTTGCGGCCGACAGTAGCCGTTTAGTCAGGTCAATCCAGAGGGCAACGTTAGCTCGGGTGTTTTGTCGTGGTCAACCGATCAGGTCATGCCTTTTATTGTATTATTGCCAATATTGCACTTTGGTATTAATTATTCTATTACTGCCCATACGGCATCTCGTTTTATTGTTATACTTATATATTTTATATTACCATTATTATTATTATTATTATTATTCACAACATTTGGGCTCCCGTTCCCCAACATTGAATGATTTATTGTTTTTTTTTTTACAAATAATAGTATGAGGTGCCTTTTGGTCTGTTATCGTTCCATATTATATTGCCTTTTATTTTCTTGTATTCATATTTAAGTGGTCACCTATTCCCGACATCAGAGGCTTGGGTAAAACAGTATCACCAAACAAAAGTTAAAAACTTAAAAATAATAATAATAATAATAATGATATGATTTTCAAATATGTAAACCTAATAAATTATTCAAAAATTGTACCAATTAAAAAAAAATCAGTTCATAACTAGTATCTGTTATAATCTAAAAAGTAAATTATTAGAAGATACTAATGACTTAAGTTTGATGAAAGACATCACAGTTCTTGATAAAAGTACTTGGGCAGTTGATATAGACATACGATATGGTGAAGAAGAAGTCAAACGTTTCATGTTAAACAAGAATAATGCAATAAACGAATTGAAAGTATACTCTGATGAAGATAAATATCCTCAAGATGTATTTCTAGAGTTGAATAACTGTATTAAAACTTTTCCTTGCTAAACTGCTGAATGTGAACGTGGCTTCAGTGTTTTAAATTTGATTTGCACAGATCTTAGGTCTACATTAAGCATAACTAATATTTAAAATTTGATGTTGATAAATATAAATGGACCCCACTTAAGTTATGGAGCCCTGAGTCCTATGTTAAAAGTTGGTTAGTTCAACACAGATCAGTAAATGACACCAGAACAAAAAAAACTACAAAGAAGAAGATATAGATGCTTATAAAAGAAGTTTATGGACAGTTGTCCATTTTTTAAAATTATTTATAATAATATTTGAAGTTTGACGTGTTATTAACATAGATAAATAGATAATATAGACTAATAAATATTGTATATTATCTAAAGTTGTTTATTTTTTATATATATATGTAGTCCATTATTTTACTGTACAATTTTTTTTAAGTTTGATAGTAAAAAGTTGTATTATTTATGATATATATGAATTGAATTAATTTAAAAAAAAATAATACAATGATACTTGGTACATATTACACACAGTGGAGTATATAGGAATTAATTACATGGTGGGGGTGAATATAGGATGAACCCCCCACTATATACGCCACTGCATATACATATACATATGGAGGGTATTTGTAATAAAGTAATAAAAGATTATTAAATACTAAGTGTAATAATTTTTCGAGTGGAGCGAGAACATTTTTTAAGGTAAGCAATAGTGGTGAATCTAAGGGGAGGTAATATGGTAAATACCCCCTCCATTCTTGAGTTTATTATATATAAATGTATTACATTGTGACTTGTGAAAAAAATAGGTTTATCCCATTATTATATACCATTTTTTCAGATTTCAGATTAATTACCCCTTGATAAATTTCTGGATCCGCCACTGGTAGGCATATATAGGTATATTAAATTACTTTTAGGCACGTATACCCATAAATATATTTACCAATACACCACTGATTATTTACCTTATTCGAATTCCGGGCATCAAGAATATAAACATATACATAGGTATTTTTGGTAAACACTATTGTTTTCGGCGAAAGTAATCGGTATTGTGAGGGTTTTGAGTGCACTATCCCTGGATTTCAATAGTGAGCAAAATAACGTGAATAATTATCGTATTGTTATTCAGTTGAAAACATTTTAACTTAGGTATTTGTAGTTCTGATTTGTCTACTTATTTCTGATTAACTTCTAACTTTCACCAGTTAATAAAAAGGAGAAGTAGCTTTTAACCTTAAACTTAACTTGAATTCTTTTAGACTAATTGGACCAGTTAAGAAAAATGTGTCAACTCGCTCAACCTTGATAATGTACGCATTCTACTGCACGATACAGGCGCATTGTCTCGACAAATCACACGTAGTCCATAAATAGGCTGGAATCTGATTGAGAACGATTGATCTTTTTCGTAACCCGATTGAGCACTTTTGCAATCAAACAATAGGGACCAAAAAAAAGCCCAAAAACCCACGAAAATAGATGCGACGTTGCCGCTTTGTACCGTAGAATATTTCAATTATTCACCATTTTTTCTAATTCCAATAAACCTATACTTGAAAGCTCCGACGTTAGCTAACTCTTTGCCTCTCTCGGATAAAATAATTTTTATTTCATTGTTTTCCATTTCAATTTGCAAAATATACGTTATTTAGGAATACAACACGAGCACACGAGACAACAGAACAGACTGGCTATTATTTACAGCGTAGGTACATACAATAACAGTGCAATTGTTGAAGATAATATGATAAAACTGCTTTTCTATCTATCAAAGTTATTTTAATCTTCCGTGGTACCCATCAATCGATAGCGAAATTTTTTTCGATTAATAGTTAGTTAGTTAGTTTCCTATTAGTAATCTACAATAAATACTAGTAGAAATCTGACAGCGTTGTACACGATATTTTTTTTTTTTTACCGTGCTCAATCGGGTCGTCAAAAAGGTTGGCCGATAGTGAACTTGCTCAATCGGGTATCACGGCATAAGTATGCTTTTCGTTCTCGGCTCTGGGTGGTATACATTTCTGTTTTAATACCACGTTACTCGGTAACCCCCCCCACATCACCATAATAAGGGTATTATGTGCGCAGCGATTTGCCTGTTCTAATCAGTATTTATTCAACTGAGCTAATGCGCGCGAGACGATTCAAACGTGCATACGTGATCTGCACTTTCAATTCGTTCCCCCTAAAAAAAAAAAAAACCGTCAATCCAACGATTCTTAACCGAATCAGAACGGTTTCAATGGATTTATACAACTCATCATTCGCGTGTTGTTCAAAGTATTTTTTATATACTTTATGTACTTAGGTACCCTGCACTACGAATAACGTGAAATGCACGTGCGCGTTCGTAAAACATATTTTTAATTCTTCTTGAACGACGATGGAGCCTTTCGTGCGGAAAACCGTAATTACAACGAATTACGTTTATTTCTTATCGGCGTTAATGTTTATTATTATTATTATCATATATTATAATCTCGACGCGTCCGATATTATA